TTTTTATCCAACATATTTATGCCATTCTCAATACACGTCATTTTTGGATTCAACGTGCTACGTGCACTTGGACACAAAGAAAATGAAGTGCTTCCCGCAGTTTTATTTCTATAATTCTTGAAATTTTGAAATTTATTCCTCATTTTCTCTTGAACATTCTTTTAAGCAAGACATAGCAAAATACTTAATTGAACATAATAAATTACTATGGAGTAATAACACCAAGCATCTTTTTGTTTCCCACAAAATCTAACGCTTTTTTCAGCTGTTTACTTCCTGTTATCTTGCGAATTAACTTTCCATATCTTAACTTAATCTCCTTTATTTTTACCTTGATAGTCAATCTGGGACTTTACTATTGATTTGGTGAAGTTTGGTTGCGCAGTAACTTTTAATCTCGAGATGTGCAATATTTGTACAACATTGCTGACGTTTTTGTGCTAATGTTACATTATCATTTAATCTCCTTTTAAAAAGATTGCATATGACCTTTTTATTGTTTGCTGTACAAAAAATTCATCCAGAAGGATATATGGTTGAACTAGTTGGATGAAATCTAGTGAAATTTAAATCGAAAGTAAAACGAGGAACTAGCTTCTTCTAGAAGACGAGAAATTATTCCCTACAATTTTCACCAGAGCTATTTATTTCTTACGCTTATTACCTTGCTAATTTTGATATATCATGCAACTGATATTGATAATTGCAAAGTCTTTGAAAGGTACCATTTGCATTTATTTGCTTCACTTGTTCAAATCTAACTGCCATTAATTAATGGTTGAACAAGTGAAGCAAATAAAATGTAAATATCTGTGATATAATACTTCCTATATGTGCAGATGTGTTCGGTTTTATGCACATAGTACATGTGGTCGACGAACATGATTTATCTGAGTAAATTAATTGTCATACAGATGCTCACGTCTTCAGTTATTGAAAATTGTTAAATTTCACTGATGCAATTCACATGAAAAAGCAATTCACATGAAAACATGAAAAAGTCATGCATATATGTTACTACAAGTGTTCATCATTCTGAAAATTTCAATTTCACTTCTAGATTAATCCGAACAAATCTTAGGACATCTTAAAGTTACTGACCAGATAACTTATAATTTAAAATTTACAATTAAGGATAATTTAAAATGACTTACAAAGGGGATCAACAATAAGGAATTCCATTAATGTACAGTCTAGAACATTCGCGCACTGAACAATGCAGCACTAGATCATATATCAAAAAGATAACAATGAACTGTTCTCCGAAATCCTATTATTTTTATTTTGAAGCCAAAAAAAATGATTAATTTGAAGATTTCGAAATATGTTAATGAAAGTTTAAAATGCATCGGAAAGTTTATTTGCATGTTATTCTACCAGATAAGTGGGAAAGTTCATACAGGTTTTTCCTTTCATATGCATTTCTTTGCGAACTCAATCGGTGAATTGAATAGGTTTAGGCATTTTGTAATGACAGTGTTCCAGGATGATAATAAAACAAAGCTACGAAATTTCTTCATTGGTGTGAAATTTTCTTGAATCCTGAAAATCAACTTTCCAACCACTTTTTGGGAAAGTGACAGAAGATGATTACAAATTCTTAAAGGCGAGTATTTGCTTAAGTTATTTGAACTTATGCTTCTATTTTCTTGATGTTTCCTAATCATGCAAATTTTTGTTAGAGTTTATTGGTCGCTGCAATAGTTTTATGGCACAATCCATCTTACAGATTGTTACGAGGAGGAATGTCCGTTTGCATGATACCGAGTGATGTAAGTCATGAAGAAGCCGTGGAATGGATTGCGTTCGGTTTAGAACAGTTGGTAAATTTGTCCAATGAAATATTCGAACGTTTATCGGATAGGATAAAAAATTTTAGTGAGCATGCTGATCGAATACAGTTGGATCTGGGACGAGTTACCAAAAAAATCGAGCAAGTCCGAGAGGTTAATAATGATTTTGTAGGGATGGTCCTTTTTTCCATATTTACTCGCTGTCATATATTTACTTGAATTTACCAACATTTTCTACGGAAAAATTATAGAGTTGAAGTGACGTTAAAAATTCTTGATTACAATCAATAAGGCATGGCAGTATCATATGATTTTCTAGATGAACACTGCAGTCGTAATTAGTGCCCCTGGCAAATTTATAAAAACTGGAAATGAATGTCAACGGAGTGTTTTGAACAGAGGATTACGTACACATGTGAATGCTTTGAAGAAGGTTAACACGAAGCATAGATATAATTTAAGCGAGTCAAAAGATGTTGCAGCAGTTTTGAATGAAAAACGAACATTTTATCGGTTCACAGAACAAGGAATGAAACCAAACAGACAGAGTAATTGATCTTCATATGTCTCAGAAAAGATTTGTATTTCGAGTTTGTCTCTGTAAGAGATACATAGAAATCCTTTTATCTTTTCACTTAGATAAAATAGAAATGGTTGGGAAAGTGGTTTGATTAAAACTTGAAATAAAGAGAAGAATGAAGCTCATTGTCGTTTCTGGGAAGCTTGAACTACGCATTTTCAAAAAGGAGAGATTTTGAATTAAGCTTTATTTTCAGCCAGACAGATTCCTGACAATTTACAGTCAGCTGCCGATTTGTTGCTGTTTAATACTACTCTAAATGTCTATGCTGACGATCAGTTCATGGATCCTTTCGATAATGTGAAAATTGAAGTAAGCTTGAATCTCTTATTTTTTTAAAGAGTAAAGGATGGCTTTAGAAAGCTGAGAAAATAAGCCATTTCCAGGAATTTAGCCATTCATATTACTGAAAATAGAATTGAGAAATAGGCATTTAATTATTCGGATTTTACCGGTGGTTGTTTTTAGTTGCATACGGAATCGGAATTCAAAGTGCAACAATTTACACCGATGGCTGACGATTCAACCTTAGCTGTTAGCGTGAAGCAGAAAGCAGATCCACTGGAATATCAACCAGAATTCGGTTCAATTCAAAATTTCACTCTTCCAGAAGTGTTATTCGCTTCAACAAGTACATTTTTAATATCGTACATTTATTCCTAAATTTGATGACTGGCCTCACCATTTCACTCCTTGCCTAGGTGCGTCTTTTGCGACAATGCACTAAAGTTCTTAGTCTAACTATATATCTAACTATATATCTCGTGTATCCACAAGGTCTTAATGAAAAAGTTTTTGGGAACATCGACTGAATTTGTTGCTAAAGACCTGCTTGTTCAATAAATAAAGGTCTTCATGATAAACATTTATATGCTTATGGGTACTTTTTTTTGTATTAAGTGCATATTTGTAAGATGATTTAATTCCAGGTCTTCCTGCTGACTTACATGGTGTTCGGAAGTCCTTAGAAAGGGATATATCAAGTGCTGCTGGATCGCAAGATATGCTAACCATGGAAAAGGATATCAATGAGAAAGGAACGTTGGCCAAACCGAAATTGACCATGACAGAAGGTACTAGTAAATCGATCTCAACAATAACTGAAAATACCGCAGTTTGATCGCAGTTTTTCATTGTAGAAACAAACGAAGCATCGTCTGAGGCAACACAAGAACAAATAACAAGTTCGGCTGCTCCCAAGAATGAAGCGTTAGAAATTGTGAATTCTGCCACATCAAATAGCGGTTCGTTTCAGCCAATGTAAATTTGTTCTTTATTATCACTTTAAACATATCATTCATATCACTCTTGCTACAAACAACACAAGCATTTTTCTTAACATAAGATGTCATGCTTTATTTAAATGTGGAATTTTATTACTAAATATTTGTTCATCACTAAAAACTGGAAGATATTTTTCTAACAAGTGAAAAACGACGATTTAGGGATGAAACGAAATTCCAAATTTGAATTAAGCATGACAGATGGTGGGACAGAATTGTGGAACGGAAAGATTAGCATTACCGTTATATTAGTATTATATTTGTGTGGGAGAATATATCTTTCAGGATGTAGTTTTAGAATCTCAAATCATAAATTCGAGTAGTTTTTAGGAGTCACTACGACAGTTTTGCTGAATTTTCATTGCTAATACTTTAGTTGACATCTTTTTATTCCATGAATTTTTGGAATCAAACTCCATTTCGTTCTTTACATCTCTGAAATAATTTTGCGACACTGAATGGAGGTCATGCAAAAAAGAAAAGAAAAAAAGTGGTTTTATCGATTTGCTGATCTCTGATCTCCTTTATTTTCTGATTCATCTTTGTTTCTCTTTTCTGCTTGTTTTCACAGTAAAAATTCTGTAAAAATACGTTTTTCTTCTTTATTCTTCGCCCTTATAAAAATTAAGCACATGATAACCACTTTCTTCTCCTTTTTCTTTTATCTTTAACGTGTAATTTGTGGATTCTAAAACGATTTGAAAAATCTAATTACCGTCATCTGGATTTCACAAAACTATTGGTTTTCAGTTCCACTGAAACAAAAAGAGAGACTTTCACGACAAATTTCAACTCTCCATTACTTTTGGGAATTTTCATTTATGTTTTCCATATGTTTTCCACTTATTTTTATACATTTTCAGAAAAAAAATCATCACCACCTCCTCCACCACCACCACCACCACCACCACCACCACCACCACTACCATCGACTCAGCTTGCAACACAAACCGCAATCAGCAGTCAGTCGAAGACGATAACTGCAGTTAATGATGATAGAGCTAATTTAATGGATGCTATACGAAGGGCTGGAGGTGCCAAGGGTGCGAAACTGCGATCAGTAAGAAAGCGGGTAACTTCATAAATTCAACATCTTTTCTATCTTCGACCATGGAATATGTGGATGTCGTTTAGCTGACACAATTGATCAATGGAATATTTTCAGGAAGAAGTGCTTGCTGAGAATGCATCGGTCCTTCCCAAAAGAAATGTGCTTGCTAATCCATCGAGTGACGATTTAATGTCTTCGTTAGCGAAAGCCTTGGAGCAGAGACGTAAAGGTATTGCAGTTTTGGCTCTATTTGTTAACTAAACTATTTTTCTTTTTTTTGAAATTTCACGAATTTGCTGGTTAAAGTAGAACACATTGTGTTTGTAGATTCTATTGTCCAGTAAATTAATTTTTAAGAACTTTCTAGGAATATTTGGAAAAAAACCAGGGCATCGAGAATCAGTAAAATCTTTAGGATTAAATGAAGGAGCATTTGCACATATGAGCGCCCGAATACCGCCACCACCGCCTAAAGAAGATAGTGATGAATATGATAATGTTGATAAAACCGATGATTATGAGTGGGAATGATAAAGTGTATCATATCTCAAATTCTAAGCAGCTAGTGTAATTATTTTCTGATAGGTTGGCAGCAGCATAGCTGGACCGCCGATATTGCTGTTATGTAATCCGCGATGTTGTTTCCACAGAAGTCTCTAAAACTGCTTGTTTTTCCCGTGTTCGAAGGACTAAGTTTATTATGTTGAAAGTTTTTTACTCCGTCTTATTTTTGTACTTACTGAATTTTGTAAATTCTTCAAACAATCTAATGAAATAGATTGGACAATGTGATTGACAGCTGACAATATGGATTCCATTTTAGAGCTCATTTATGTTATGTTCGACATAGAGTGATACGACCAAAAACATGTCTCAATGTTTATAGGCTGGATTTAGTCTTGAATGATGTTAATTTTTGAAACTAAACATTGAATTGATTTTTGAACTAAACATTGAATTGATTTTTGATTTCTTTGTGTTTCGTGACTTACGAATCTATGAAAATAAATACTTCTATTATACAAGTCTTATAGTTTTATATCCTAATATTATTTGTTTTGTATCTGTTATTGACAATACTTAAAATGGATCTATTGAGCGTGGAAAAAGTGTATTCAGTCATCTTTGTTTATTTTTTTTTATAGGATTTTCTTGTTTTTAATTCATGCTTTTTGTTTTCTTTGTCATATCGAAGGAAGAGAAAAGATAAGAGAACGATTATTGACTTTAGGAATATTTTCAACGGGACAGAATCGGTAAAGCTCTTCCATGGTTGATAATAGAACCGTATGGTTATTACCGATGATAAACTAGAAGACAGTTCGGAGTCAATCCCACCTTATGCCTCACCAAATCCTTCACCTGCTCGGGGAGTATATGGTATGCTTACTTTTGAAAAAAAAAAAACCTTTTAGATTCCATTAGTACAATGTTCTAGCATTCATTATACAGTAGTTAATTATGCTAAGCAATATTACCTTATAAATTTTTTAAAATGTAAAGTGCTTTCGACTTTTTAACGAAATATTAACGTTTTGGTAATAGAAAGTTTGAAAATACTCTTTCAGCGAAATGCGTACGAATTATTAGGATGTAAGTTTAGTATTTGTATTGTTTACTATTTACATAAGTAAACAGAAAGAGAAGAAGATGGATGATTGGGTAATATGATTATTTAATGAGTCTTTACATAGGTGAGGCCGTATAGGTAAATTTAGGTTCTTAATGAAATGAAAAATCCGAAGATTTCAGTTTGAAGTGATACATTTAGTGGTATATTTTTCAGGCTTTGCATTATTCGTCTGTTCTTGGTTTTCTTTAGCCTTATATCTAATTTGGGCTCTTCTCCCGACACCGTATTTGGAACTACTTCATTTAACATATTTACCAGCCAAATATTGGGCTATTGCTATACCACTGCTCTTACCAATAGCAGTTGCTGCATTTATTATCTTTGTATTAGCACATAATCTGATCCAGTTGCATGGCGTTTTTGATGATATTGAAGTAAGTCGTGTTTGCTTTCCTTGAAATTAAGTAGATTGTTTTTTGAAACTTTTGAATTTAATCTACCTTGGGTCTACCTTGGGCCTGCTCAACTTATTGGAATTCTCTGCAGATTATAGAAGACGATTTTGGTGGAAGTGCAGGAGCTGTTAGTACTGATTTGCAATCTTTTTTAGCGAATACTAGAAGTCTTTGTGAAAGAAGCGGTAAATGTTTCAATTTAAAAAGAAAAAAAATCACTTTCTGAAATTATTTCATAGCATTAACATTTTTTATGCGATAAAGTTGAGTAGATGGCGAAAATTTCAACTTGCTTAGTTATATTCATACTAACTTAATATTTTCGAGAAAGCCTTTGTATTGAACATCATGCATTATCAATTTTTTTGTTGTTTCAGTGCCGTACATCTCTGGTACTAGTGAAGATAGCATGAGCAATTCGTAAATTTCGAAAGGAAGTGCACGGTAGTTATCATTATGTTGTATGGAACAATTCGGATTTTAAAATCGTCTCCGTTTTCATTATTATTTGCACGGCAGCGAACGCATCCACTTGGTGGACGTTTACGACGAAAAACAAAAACTATTCAAAATATTCCGGCAAAAGCACTTTCGGTTTCGAAAATTAATGAATTAATGCGGAAACGGTTGGAAACTTCATGGTATGGGAATCAGGCATCTACTTCGGAGATGGATTTGGATTCTTTATCTGCTGATAGATATTTGGAGTATTGCTTTATTATATTTATTGCTATTGTGCTAGATTTCCTTTTTAATTTCATGCTAGATTTTGAATTCTCGAAGAGATTCGCAACAGCTTTCTTATTGCTTATTGATTTCAGGATAAATGCCAGTAAGTATACTTCGCTTGTTACATTTCGGCAGGCTAAGAAAGAGAAAGGCGACTGCGGAAAGAAAGAATTGACAACTGAGCATGATTATGAAGATAATGTAACTTTCATATTTTGTCTCCTTCATAGAAACTTTAGTGTAGTATTTCAGAACAGTATGAAAATTCCAATTTTGAATTACTGAGATTGTCACGACGTTGACTAGTTCGCCATAGTAATAATGTTTGCTGATGATCTAGGATATAAATTTACGTCCGACATGACGTGAATCCTCCTAGATGTTTGATGTCAAATCATTATGTTCATTGTACCGCTTATTTGAATTGCAGTGTTTTGTTCCACAACTTCGTAGTTTATTTAAATTAAGTTTGATATGATTCCAACGGTCCGGTCAAATCAAAAATTTATCATAGAAAACGTAAATAATTGTTATCTAGCAGTAATGCTAGCTTACAGGATTTCCTATTAGCTGGTTCTTTTCTGTTGAAAGCTGATTCAACTGTTTCAAAAAACCCTGTGGAAAATTCGTCGACACTTCCAAAGTTTTCTGGTTTCGATCGTGGGTTTTACATTTACGGAGATAGTTTTGTTGACGAATTTGTTGTTGGTTCAACGGCGGATATACCTGGTGGTGAACTGGAAAAGTTTGTATCACTTTCACTTGAACTTTGAATTAGATTTTCTTAAGCTTTGTGAAGGGTTTATGGGATTCTCCTTGGTAATTATTTGTTAAATGTCATGGTAGTTCTAGAATTTCAGTATTGATGATGAAGCCGTAGTTCGTTATGGTGCCGAAGATGCTATTGAAGAAATTGATTTTCAACTTCCAGGACAAAGTAGCAATCCACAGGTTTTTATGTTGTCATTATTATTATTTATATGTTAATTCTGTGTTCCTGAAAATCATTTCCAGAGACATCTTCCTTCAAATAATGTGTTTTTTGTTTTGTTACAATTGTTACTTGATAAACTTCAGAATAATGTACTGGAAGAGGAGGATGACGAATTTTTCGATAACTGCGGTACAGTTGATCCAACAGTACCCTCTTCAAATAAGCTTTGCGGCGCTTGCGGAGCGAATTTCCATTGTCGGGTAGGAAATTAATATCAACATTCTAACTTTTTTATCAAAATTTAATACGAAGCAATTAGTTTTTACACAGTAGTGATTGCAATAAATATCGATTCATATTGGAAGTTAAAAATTGAGTAAACAAGTCATTTTTTTTTCAACACCATGAAAAACGATGTAATATATTAGAAACTTCGTCCTTTATTTGCAGGATGCTTCTCTGCCAGGTTTTGTACCCGCAGAGATTTTTTTGAAATTGAATGACTATAATGATCAGTTGTGCCGCAGGTGCTACATGCTTAAAAAGCATAATTTTTTGGTTAGTTATTCCTCGTTTGAGTGGATGACTTGACAAAAATTAAAGCTACTGTTACAGTAGCGTGCAACATCTTTTGCATTCTCTTTATAATGTCTTATCGCTTGAACCAATAATATAAGTTGATTCCTGTTTATTGTATTTTATTAGTTATATTTCAGTAATAATCAAGGAATCAAATATTCCTTCAGCGGTTATCATTCATTTTATTCTAGCTGAATGTTAATGTTTGTGAAGTGGATTATCGCTCGATGATGAAACATTTAAAACTGAAACAGGAAGCGCTAATAATACTTGTTGTCGATATGTGTGACTTACCAGGATCAATTTATTCTGAATTGCCCAAGATAATTGGTTATCAGAAACCTATGATTGTTGTTGGTATGTTGCTTTTTCCTCTTACTACATCTTCTCAACTATTAAAATTCTTCATGTGATTACTGATGAACAAGATTTGCTATGCTGAATGATTGACCAATCAGACAAAAGTATTTATTGTTTTATATATAATTATTATAGGAAATAAGGTCGACCTATTGCCGCCAGATGCGCGTCGTGGTTTTTTGCGTCACTTCCGACAGATTTTGCACAATTTATTGAGGGAAACAGGATTTGTTGATAATTTCAACATTTTACACACTTCACTTATTAGCGCGAAAACAGGATATGGTGTCGAAGATCTTATTACTGTTCGTGTTTTCATGAAATTTCTCACTTACCATTTTTGCAATAATTTTCGCTTGGTAAAATGTCCTTTGCTTGAGCAGTCAAATGTTTTAAATGGAAGTTATGAAATCTTTAAGGTACTAATCCAAAATCAATAAAAAAAAATGTTGTAACGAGATATTCTCCCTAACTTGTTCTCAGTTTGTTCATGTAATAAGATTTCGCACAACTACTGGAAATAGAGACTTGACTTCTTTATTTTATAGCAAAAACAATTTTTTATAAAGCCATATAAGACCGTACTGTTGCAGAACATATATCTAAGATTTTCAACTCGAGACACTTTGCGAAATGATATGTATTTAGTCGGTTGTACAAATGCAGGAAAATCGTACGTTCCTTTTGCCAATTGATCAAATCTATCACTTTTTGGCTTCAGTTCTACAGTTAGTTCCCATTGTTGCCTCGTGATTTATAGTTAAAAATTTCCTGTAATTTACTTATATTTATTACAGGTAAACTAGTCTTTCTTTAAACGAATCATGACTATTTTACTGATTACCTTTATGAATGCCGAACCTATTGTTCTGTCACTTCTCCATTGGGGATACAAGTTTTTTTAACAAATAGTTTTTCACAGGTCTCAGAAGGACTGATTTGTTGTATTTTCAGAACACTTTTCAACGCATTGCTGCAGTCCGACTTATGCAAAGTGCGTGCTGTAGATCTCGTAGAACGTGCGGCTACAACTCCATGGCCTGGTACTACCATTTCATTATTAAAATTTCCAGTAATGAATCCTTCGCCACATAAACTGGAAATCAGGCGACGACGGTGAGATTTTAGCTTTTTTCTGAAACAAGTCTGATTTGTCATTGTTCTATTTAAAAAATCTCTCTATGAGTCCGCTGCTTGCATTGAGCATCGTAATGAGTCACTTTTTAGTTGTAAGTAATTTGCTTATGATGTATATGGAATTTCCATTTATATTGCATGCTTTATATCGAAACTGATATAGATTATTAGCGAATCAAGCTTGGCAAAAGAAGGAGGACCGTATGCGATATAATCTTTATAAGCAGTCAGGTGATGTAAAGTATGCAATGTTGCAATCTACCGTTGGGAATTCATTCAAGGTTATTTTGTGTCTTTTCGTGTATAGGTTTATGTTTACTCACTTCCATATGTTATTTTGAGTGTATTTTTAAAGCGAACAGTGAATTCAGACTAGTTCAATTCAGTCACCAAAATTTCTATCTCAGTTTTTCTTTATTGTAATTTTGAAGGACCGTGAAGAAGAATTACAACCACCAGCTTTTCGTTCCATACTTACCGATTCTGAAGCAACGGACAAACCAAAACGACTGTAATTTTGCATTTTTTTTTTATCTTTTGATCATTTAATTTTTTGTCACTTCTTCCATCAAAGATGACGAATGATTTGAAGACATTTTGGAATTCAACAACTTTATATTAGTTAAAACACCATAGATGAGATGACATGCTAAGTTTTGATCCTTTTATACACATACACTAATCCTTCCTCATAAGAACCTACACTTATATTGATTTCAGTTTTGATCCAAACTCATTTGTTTTCGCGAAGGGAAAATGGTGTTTTGATACTCCTGGAACTGTCAATTCTGATCAGGTTTGTTCTTTAGTTTCCTTACGATCGTAGTTAGTTTGGTAGTTCCCTACTTGGTACGTAGTGCGAGTTATTTGATAGTATTGTTCCTCATAAAAGACCCAGGTTTCATATTGCTATTATCTTATAGTATACGTACTTTATTTCGCTCTGCTTTGGAAATCGTTTTATAAATTATATAATTTTATGGAATTTCTTGCCATCTAATTGATGTATCTAATATCGAGTTTTGAAATTTGAGGCTTTCGAAATGTTTCAAGCCTTTTTCGACCTGGAAATTTTTATGTTTTTAAAGTCTTTTCCTTTTCCGAAGTAATATCACTGCAATTTATATTTGTTATTTAGATCCTGAATTTATTCACTTTGGATGAGCTAATTGCTGTTTTACCTCGGACAATGATTTTGCCGCGAACATTTATCATGCATTCAGACGAATCACTTCTCGTTGCTGGCGTTGCGCAGATCGATGTAATCAGTTTACCGATGACTGCAAAACCTGCTTCGGATAGAGATTATCCAGAAAGACGACCATGTGCTCTAGTAAGTCTAGTA